TCTTAACCTTCTAACCTTAAAATAAAAAAAAAACAACCTAGACTTAACCACATCTCTAACCCTAACCCTTAGCCTGAACTAAACTAATCCAGCTTAAAACCCTCTGTGTTTTATATCAATACTTTGTGTTTTAGATCAATACTTTGTGTTTTAGATCAACACTTTGTGTTTTAGATCAACACTTTGTGTTTTAGATCAACACTTTGTGTTTTAGATCAACACTTTGTGTTTTAGATCAACACTTTGTGTTTTAGATCATCACTTTGTGTTTTAGATCAACACTTTGTGTTTTAGATCAACACTTTGGTGTTAGCGAACTAACTACAAACGATAGTTGGTGGTTCTAACTTAGCTCTGCACAGAAAGAGAGTTCAAATAAAGAGCTTCAAACTGATGGTCTGTCTAACATTAAGTCCTACAAACTGATGGACTGTCTAACATTATGTCCTACAAACTGATGGACTGTCTAACATTAAGTCCTTCAAACTGATGGACTGTCTAACATTATGTCCTACAAACTGATGGACTGTCTAACATTAAGTCCTACAAACTGATGGACTTTCTAACATTAAGTCCTACAAACTGATGGACTGTCTAACATTAAGTCCTACAAACTGATGGACTGTCTAACATTAAGTCCTACAAACTGATGGACTGTCTAACATTAAGTCCTACAAACTGATGGACTGTCTAACATTAAGTCCTACAAACTGATGGACTGTTTAACATTAAGTCCTACAAACTGATGGACTGTCTAACATTAAGTCCTACAAACTGATGGACTGTCTAACATTAAGTCCTACAAACTGATGGACTGTCTAACATTAAGTCCTACAAACTGATGGACTGTCTAACATTATGTCCTACAAACTGATGGACTGTCTAACATTAAGTCCTACAAACTGATGGACTGTCTAACATTAAGTCCTACAAACTGATGGACTGTCTAACATTAAGTCCTACAAACTGATGGACTGTCTAACATTAAGTCCTACAAACTGATGGACTGTCTAACATTATGTCCTACAAACTGATGGACTGTCTAACATTAAGTCCTACAAACTGATGGACTGTCTAACATTAAGTCCTACAAACTGATGGACTGTCTAACATTATGTCCTACAAACTGATGGACTGTCTAAAATTAAGTCCTACAAACTGATGGACTGTCTAACATTAAGTCCTACAAACTGATGGACTGTCTAACATTATGTCCTACAAACTGATGGACTGTCTAACATTAAGTCCTACAAACTGATGGACTGTCTAACATTAAGTCCTACAAACTGATGGACTGTCTAACATTAAGTCCTACAAACTGATGGACTGTCTAACATTAAGTCCTACAAACTGATGGACTGTCTAAAATTAAGTCCTACAAACTGATGGACTGTCTAACATTAAGTCCTACAAACTGATGGACTGTCTAACATTAAGTCCTACAAACTGATGGACTGTCTAACATTAAGTCCTACAAACTGATGGACTGTCTAACATTAAGTCCTACAAACTGATGGACTGTCTAACATTAAGTCCTACAAACAAGCTACTATCTAACCATAACGGCACACAGTCGTATTTAACGTCTGAACATATGACTGCACTTTAATGTCAGGGTGAAACATGAACATATGACTGCACTTTAATGTCAGGGTGAAACATGAACATATGACTGCACTTTAATGTCAGTGTGAAATATGAACATATGACTGCACTTTAATGTACGTGTGAAATATGAACATATGACTGCACTTTAATGTCAGGGTGAAATATGAACATATGACTGCACTATAATGTCAGGGTGAAATATGAACATATGACTGCACCATGTTGACAGTCGCCTTGGGCATATCTGACATGGCCGGACCCATGGGCTTTTGACAAATCGATTTCAATATCTTATTTTTCTCCCCTCTGGTACGCATCTTGTAGTATTGATTTTCAAGAGTGATCATTACACCATGAGAAGTGAAGAGGCAAATGTACGAGTCCTCAAAATGTATCCCCCCCCCCCCACACACACAACTCTGCTAGGCCGTGATTCTAAGGCCAGGCTCTTATGTCTGAGGATTTAGTGGCACTGCTCATCAGTTTCAGCCCCGCATCTTTCCGATTTGACTCGAAATCATTCAACTTTCAATGCCTGGCTTATGGTCTTGTATTCTTGTAAGGGATTTCAACGGATGCAATCTGTCTGCAGAACTGATGGAGTATTTGGGACAGGATCCTGTAGTAAAGCTGGGATAAGTTTAGTAATGTCAGGATATACAACACATCCATACATAACAAATACAGAATCGTATGATTGCTATCCGTAAACAAGAAAGGGCATATGTAATATAGACTAACTTAGATTACATAGAATATATATATATATATTATGTATATATATATATATATATATATATATATATATATATATATATATATATATATATATATATATATATATATGTGTGTGTGTGTAGCGTAGGTAAGAATAAGGTAGAACACACCTCGGCGACTACCCAGTTGCCAGGGGCGTGTTAGGACATTCCCGGGAGCAACCAGGTAGCTACCTGGTTCAGTTTAATCATCGAATGTCGTGTGCACTGTGTTCCTGTCGTATGCGGCTCTTTAAGAATAATTTGGGAGCCGAAGTGCTCTGGAGGGAGCCAGGGGTGGGTGCTGCAAGTCTTCCAACAGCCAGGGCACCGGTGAAGGCACCTTTGATTTAGTCAACGATTATTGTAGCCCACCGTATCTATAGTGTATAGCACTCTTTAAAACGATAAGCCCAGGGAGCTAAATCACTTCTTGGCAGAGATTGTCCACTAGTCTCTCTGATAGAGAATGTCCACTGGTCTCTCTGATAGAGAATGTCCACTGGTCTCTCTGATAGAGATTGTCCATGGTCTCTCTGATAGAGATTGTCCATGGCCTCTCTGATAGAGAATGTCCACTGGTCTCTCTGATAGAGATTGTCCATGGCCTCTCTGATAGAGAATGTCCACTGGTCTCTCTGATAGAGATTGTCCATGGTCTCTCTGATAGAGATTGTCCATGGCCTCTCTGATAGAGAATGTCCACTGGTCTCTCTGATAGAGATTGTCCATGGTCTCTCTGATAGAGATTGTCCATGGTCTCTCTGATAGAGAATGTCCACTGGTCTCTCTGATAGAGATTGTCCATGGCCTCTCTGATAGAGATTGTCCATGGTCTCTCTGATAGAGATTGTCCACTGGTCTCTCTGATAGAGATTGTCCACTGGTCTCTCTGATAGAGATTGTCCATGGCCTCTCTGATAGAGATTGTCCACTAGTCTCTCTGATAGAGAATGTCCACTGGTCTCTCTGATAGAGATTGTCCATGGTCTCTCTGATAGAGATTGTCCATGGTCTCTCTGATAGAGAATGTCCACTGGTCTCTCTGATAGAGAATGTCCACTGGTCTCTCTGATAGAGATTGTCCACTGGTCTCTCTGATAGAGATTGTCCATGGTCTCTCTGATAGAGAATGTCCACTGGTCTCTCTGATAGAGAATGTCCACTGGTCTCTCTGATAGAGATTGTCCATGGTCTCTCTGATAGAGATTGTCCATGGTCTCTCTGATAGAGAATGTCCACTGGTTTCTCTGATAGAGATTGTCCACTGGTCTCTCTGATAGAGATTGTCCATGGTCTCTCTGATAGAGATTGTCCACTGGTCTCTCTGATAGAGATTGTCCACTGGTCTTGCTTATAACAGCTAGAGATGAATCGGACCTGAAGCAGACTGGGATATTGCTATGAGAGATAAATGAGAAAATGATATCTGTGGGAGAAATCCATGCAGAAACTGGTCGATGCTGGTCTATCTCGAGTGATTGTAAATTTGATAGTGCAAGATTTGATAAGGGGCTAGAAATATTGTGGTTTATACTGGGGTATAGACTCAGCTCAGGGAGTGGTTTAAACTGAGCTTTGGCTGTGTTTAGACTGGGGTTTAGACTGAGCTCAGGGAGTGGTTTAAACTGAGCTTTGGCTGTGTTTAGACTGGGGTTTAGCCATTTGTTTAGACTGGGGTTTAGACCTGTGTTTAGACTGGGGTTTAGACTTGTGTTTAGACTGAGATTAGACCGGGGATTTTTTTTTTTTTTTTGGTTGATTCTAGCAATGTTTTGTTAAAATTGGTTGAATGAAATTTCATATTATGTTTAGAAAAGTTACAGGGGTTATGAAAAAGTTGACTTTGTTCAGAAAAGTGAACTGTGGATGAGACTAGTGAGATGTAGAGAGCTTTTTGTGTGGACCACTTGGCCTTGTCTTTAAACTGTAATGTGTACGGTTTTTATTGTGGTATATGTTAAGGAAGTGCTTAGTCTGATCAGCGGTAGGCGAAATAACTAACGTGTTAATTTCAGTAAGCTGCTATCTATTTAATTTAACTTGTATTTATGCGTAAATTTACTATTATACTTTTTGAACGGATGTTTGACTGACTTGATATAGTCTAGACCTAATGCTATATTTTTGTTGTTAGTGTAGATGGCATTTACAAAATAATTCTTAACGTACTATAGACCCATCATACACTAGGGTTAGGATTAAGGGTTAGGGATATTGATTAGGGTTAGTCTAAGAAAGATTTTTATCAGAGGTAAGATTAAGAATTGAAACTAAATGATTCAACTAAGCGTCCAGTATTTCTTCCAGACTTTTTTCTCCGGGGGGGGGGGGGCACTTTAAATTTTCGGGGGGGGGGGGGGGCGGTAGACTTTCTTTGGGGGGATGCCTGGAAGAAACTCTGTAAGCGTCTTGTAGCAGCGAGCGTTGGTGGATACAAGAAGTGTGTTTGTTATCTCGACATCCCATTGGCTGAAAATGAGCACATTGCGTTTTTCGTCTACCCTTTGACGTATAATAATCACTCACCTGTGTTATACGTCAAATGTTATTTTTAGGACGAATATTCCACTAACATCTTTAAGCATTGCACACTAGTCTCTTGAGGTTCCCTAACAAATGAACTTTTTTTTTCAGAACTACCACTTAATGAGGATTTAGCGGCTGAGAAAAACTGTGTTTTAATCTATGGGAAACTCACTCCTAAATCAGGACAAAATCTTACAACTAAAGAAGATTTGCTCATTGGTAGGTTTGCACGCGTTTAATAATATTTGTGCTTAGATTTAGGTTAGGCTTAATTAATATGATTGTTCCTTTTCGTTTGATGCAAAATTGAATAGTGTGCTTAATACAGATGAATGTAGTGTAGTATTATTCGAGGAATCTTTCAGACATTATGATGTAGGTTATTATGTGATGAATCTTTCAAACAGGGAATTTTAGGTTATTATGTGATAAATCTTTCATACAATATTGTCTAGGTTATTATGTGATGAATCATTCTTACATGTAATATTAGATTATTCTGTGATGAATTTTTTACACATTGTTATATAGGATATTATGTGATGAATCTTACAGACATTGTTGTGTATGCTATTATGTGATGAACATTCTAGACATTGTTGTGTATGCTATTATGTGATGAATCTTACAGACATTGTTGTGTATGCTATTATGTGATCAATCTTACAGACAGTGTTGTGTATGTGATTATGTGATTACCTGATTATGTCATTATGTCATTATGTGTTTATGTGATTATGTGATTAAGTGATTATGTGATTACCTCATTATATGATTACCTGATTATGTCATTATGTGATTATGTGATTACCTGATTATGTGATTACCTGATTATGTCATTATGTGACTATGATGAATGTTTTGACTGTTGACAGAGCTGTCCAGGTCTTACATTGGACTGACCATAACATTCGCTGCTGTCCAGTTGGCCACCATCTTGATACTTCTGTGTGGCACCTGGCCAGGACGGTGTGGCCAGGTCAAGCGGCCATGTTTGTACGTTCTGGCCGTCATCGTTCAGACCCTAGCTAGTAGGTTGTGTGTTGTTGTCTAGGTTCAAATGTCAGACCCTAGCTAGTAGGTTGTGTGTTGTTGTCTAGGTTCAAATATCAGACCTTAGCTAGTAGGTTTTATCTTGTTGTCTAGGTCCAAATATCAGACCCTAGCTAGTAGGTTTTATCTTGTTGTCTAGGTCCAAATATCAGACCCTAGCCAGTAGGTTGTGTGTTGTTGTCTAGGTTCAAATATCAGACCCTAGCTAGTAGGTTGTGTGTTGTTGTCTAGGTTCAAATATCAGACCCTAGCTAGTAGGTTGTGTGTTGTTGTCTAGGTTCAAATATCAGACCCTAGCTAGTAGGGTGTGTGTTGTTCTCTAGGTTCAAATATCAGACCCTAGCTAGTAGGTTTTATCTTGTTGTCTAGGTCCAAATATCAGACCCTAGCCAGTAGGTTGTGTGTTGTTTAGGTCCAAATATCAGACCCTAGCTAGTAGGTTTTGTGTTGTTGTCTAGGTTCAAATATCAGACCCTAGCTAGTAGGTTGTGTGTTGTTCTCTAGTCTCTAGGTTCAAATATCAGACCCTAGCTAGTAGGTTTTATCTTGTTGTCTAGGTCCAAATATCAGACCCTAGCTAGTAGGTTGTGTGTTCTCTAGGTTCAAATATCAGACCCTAGCTAGTAGGTTGTGTGTTGTTCTCTAGGTTCAAATATCAGACCCTAGCCAGTAGGTTGTGTGTTGTTGTCTAGGTTCAAATATCAGACCCTAGCTAGTAGGTTGTGTGTTGTTGTCTAGGTTCAAATATCAGACCCTAGCTAGTAGGTTTTATCTTGTTGTCTAGGTTCAAATATCAGACCCTAGCTAGTAGGTTTTATCTTGTTGTCTAGGTCCAAATATCAGACCCTAGCTAGTAGGTTGTGTGTTGTTCTCTAGGTTCAAATATCAGACCCTAGCTAGTAGGTTTTATCTTGTTGTCTAGGTCCAAATATCAGACCCTAGCTAGTAGGTTTTATGTTGTTGTCTAGGTCCAAATATTAGACCCTAGCTAGTAGGTTTTATCTTGTTGTCTAGGTTCAAATATCAGACCCTAGCTAGTAGGTTGTGTGTTGTTCTCTAGGTCCAAATATCAGACCCTAGCTAGTAGGTTGTGTGTTGTTCTCTAGGTCCAAATATCAGACCCTAGCTAGTAGGTTGTGTGATGTTGTCTAGGTCCAAATATCAGACCCTAGCTAGTAGGTTTTATGTTGTCTAGGTCCAAATATCAGACCCTAGCTAGTATGTTTTATCTTGTTGTCTAGGTTCAAATATCAGACCCTAGCTAGTAGGTTTTATCTTGTTGTCTAGGTCCAAATATCAGACCCTAGCTAGTAGGTTTTATGTTGTTGTCTATCAGACCCTAGCTAGTAGGTTGTGTGTTGTTGTCTAGGTCCAAATATCAGACCCTAGTTAGTAGGTTTTATGTTGTTGTCTAGGTCCAAATATCAGACCCTAGCCAGTAGGTTGTGTGTTGTTGTCTAGGTCCAAATATCAGACCCTAGCTAATTGGTTTTATGTTGTCTAGGTCCAAATATCAGACCCTAGCCAGTAGGTTGTGTGTTGTCTAGGTCCAAATATCAGACCCTAGCCAGTAGGTTGTGTGTTGTCTAGGTCCAAATATCAGACCCTAGCTAGTAGGTTGTGTGTTGTTGTCTAGGTCCAAATATCAGACCCTAGCTAGTAGGTTGTGTGTTGTTGTCTAGGTCCAAATATCAGACCCTAGCTAGTAGGTTGTGTGTTGTTGTCTAGGTCCAAATATCAGACCCTAGCCAGTAGGTTGTTTGTTGTCTAGGTTTAAATATCAGACCCTAGCTAGTAGGTTGTGTGTTGTCTAGGTCCAAATATCAGACCCTAGCTAGTAGGTTTTATCTTGTTGTCTAGGTTCAAATATCAGACCCTAGCAAGTAGGTTATGTGTTGTTGTCTAGGTCCAAATATCAGACCCTAGCCAGTAGGTTGAGTGTTGTTGTCTAGGTCCAAATATCAGACGCTAGCCAGTAGGTTGTGTGTTGTCTAGGTCCAAATATCAGACCCTAGCTAGTACGTTTTATGTTGTTGTCTAGGTCCAAATATCAGACCCTAGCTAGTAGGTTGTGTGTTGTTGTCTAGGTCCAAATATTAGACCCTAGCTAGTAGGTTTTATGTTGTTGTCTAGGTCCAAATATCAGACCCTAGCTAGTAGGTTGTGTGTTGTTGTCTAGGTCCAAATATCAGACCCTAGCTAGTAGGTTTTATCTTGTTGTCTAGGTCAAAATATCAGACCCTAGCTAGTAGGTTTTATCTTGTTGTCTAGGTCCAAATATCAGACCCTAGCTAGTAGGTTTTATGTTGTTGTCTAGGTCCAAATATCAGACCCTAGCTAGTAGGTTGTATGTTGTTGTCTAGGTCCAAATATCAGACCCTAGCTAGTAGGTTTTATGTTGTTGTCTAGGTCCAAATATCAGACCCTAGCTAGTAGGTTTTATGTTGTCTAGGTCCAAATATCAGACCCTAGCTAGTAGGTTTTATGTTGTCTAGGTCCAAATATCTGACCCTAGCTAGTAGGTTTTATGTTGTTGTCTATGTCCAAATATCAGACCCTAGCTAGTAGGTTGTATGTTGTTGTCTAGGTCCAAATATCAAAATATCAGACCCTAGCTAGTAGGTTTTATGTTGTCTAGGTTTAAATATCAGACCCTAGCTAGTAGGTTTTATGTTGTTGTCTAGGTCCAAATATCAGACCCTAGCTTGTAGGTTTTATGTTGTTGTCTAGGTCCAAATATCAGACCCTAGCTAGTAGGTTTATCTTGTTGTCTAGGTCGAAATATCAAATCCTAGCTAGTAGGTTTTATCTTGTTGTCTAGGTCAAAATATCAGACCCTAGCTAGTAGGTTTTATCTTGTTGTCTAGGTCCAAATATCAGACCCTAGCTAGTCGGTTTTATGTTGTCTAGGTCCAAATATCAGACCCTAGCTAGTAGGTTGTATGTTGTTGTCTAGGTCCAAATATCAGACCCTAGCTAGTAGGTTTTATGTTGTTGTCTAGGTCCAAATATCAGACCCTAGCTAGTAGGTTTTATGTTGTCTAGGTCCAAATATCAGACCCTAGCTAGTAGGTTTTATGTTGTCTAGGTCCAAATATCTGACCCTAGCTAGTAGGTTTTATGTTGTTGTCTATGTCCAAATATCAGACCCTAGCTAGTAGGTTGTATGTTGTTGTCTAGGTCCAAATATCAAAATATCAGACCCTAGCTAGTAGGTTTTATGTTGTCTAGGTTTAAATATCAGACCCTAGCTAGTAGGTTTTATGTTGTTGTCTAGGTCCAAATATCAGACCCTAGCTTGTAGGTTTTATGTTGTTGTCTAGGTCCAAATATCAGACCCTAGCTAGTAGGTTTATCTTGTTGTCTAGGTCGAAATATCAAATCCTAGCTAGTAGGTTTTATCTTGTTGTCTAGGTCCAAATATCAGACCCTAGCCAGTAGGTTTTATGTTGTCTAGGTCCAAATATCAGACCCTAGCTAGTAGGTTTTATGTTGTTGTCTAGGTCCAAATAGCATACCCTAGCTAGTAGGTTTTATGTTGTTGTCTAGGTCCAAATATCAGACCCTAGCTAGTAGGTTTTATGTTGTCTAGGTCTAAATATCAGACCCTAGCTAGTAGGTTTTATGTTGTTGTCTAGGTCCAAATATCAGACCCTAGCTAGTAGGTTTTATGTTGTCTAGGTCTAAATATCAGACCCTAGCTAGTAGGTTTTATGTTGTTGTCTAGGTCCAAATATCAGACCCTAGCTAGTAGGTTTTATGTTGTCTAGGTCCAAATATCAGACCCTAGCTAGTAGGTTGTGTGTTGTTGTCTAGGTCGAAATATCAAATCCTAGCTAGTAGGTTTTATCTTGTTGTCTAGGTCCAAATATCAGACCCTAGCTAGTAGGTTTTATGTTGTCTAGGTCCAAATATCAGACCCTAGCCAGTAGGTTATGTGTTGTTGTCTAGGTCCAAATATCAGACCCTAGCTAGTAGGTTTTATGTTGTCTAGGTCCAAATATCAGACCCTAGCCAGTAGGTTGTGTGTTGTTGTCTAGGTCCAAATATCAGACCCTAGCTTGTAGGTTTTATCTTGTTGTCTAGGTCCAAATATCAGACCCTAGCTAGTAGGTTTTATGTTGTTGTCTAGGTCCAAATATCAGACCCTAGCTAGTAGGTTTTATGTTGTCTAGGTCCAAATATCAGACCCTAGCTAGTAGGTTTTATCTTGTTGTCTAGGTCCAAATATCAGACCCTAGCTAGTAGGTTTTATGTTGTCTAGGTCCAAATATCAGACCCTAGCCAGTAGGTTATGTGTTGTTGTCTAGGTCCAAATATCAGACCCTAGCTAGTAGGTTTTATGTTGTCTAGGTCCAAATATCAGACCCTAGCCAGTAGGTTGTGTGTTGTTGTCTAGGTCCAAATATCAGACCCTAGCTTGTAGGTTTTATCTTGTTGTCTAGGTCCAAATATCAGACCCTAGCTAGTAGGTTTTATGTTGTTGTCTAGGTCCAAATATCAGACCCTAGCTAGTAGGTTTTATGTTGTCTAGGTCCAAATATCAGACCCTAGCTTGTAGGTTTTATCTTGTTGTCTAGGTCCAAATATCAGACCCTAGCTAGTAGGTTTTATGTTGTCTAGGTCCAAATATCAGACCCTATATTTTTAGTTGGCCTTCTGGTATTTGTTAAATTTTAATTTAATTCGTTATATTTTTACCTCTAATTACCAATTCTGTTTTAACCTCTTGTAATTAGTTATAGCTTATATCAGTTATAGTTATATTAGTTACATATTAACCTCTTGTTATATGTCCATCTAGCCATGTGTGGTGTAGCTGCAGGCATTTGTTTTCTTGCTGCCAGAGATGTTGAGGTCAGTGACCTGATGCTGTACACAAACGCCAACACTAGCTTTGGATATTCCTTCATGCTGCACTGGATCGCCACTGGTATCAGTTTCTGTAATGGGGTCTTTATTTTAATACTGTATAGATGGGCTTCAGATTATGTTCATACAAATTCCAAACTTAGGTAGAAGTCATTTCACTCATCTTGAAAAAAAAATTGTTTATAAATTAACAAACTAAAGAGACTTGGCACAAAATTAAAATAAACTGCACTCTATTATGTAGAAAGGGTGTTAATGTGTTAAAATATGGAATGTGCTCAGTGTATAAAATTCAGTGTCTTGACAAATAATTACTTTATGGTGCACTGTAGAAAAATGTTGGGTGTTTTCTTGAGACAAGATATTTGTTGCCTTTTACTTGATAACATTAGAAGCTATTTTATTGACAATATACACATTTTAATATTTGATAATTGTAACTAGAAACATAAATTATTGTAAATATAAACCCTGGTTGTATATAATATTATAATCTATTGTATTTATTGATATTATTAAAAAATATACTTATATATATAATTATTTATAAATTATTTTTATGATAAATGTTTTAAAATGCTTTTAAAATCGTGTAGTTGTTGAATACCACGTTACTATTAACACGATCACCGTGTAAAGGTAGGCAATAAAAATTGGGCAATGTTTAATGTTAAAAAACACAGTTATCTTTCCTTGTATATTTGTGTTTGTATGAAAATTCGAAGATTTTCTTGTCTGCCTTGAACTTACTAAATAAATGCTTGTTTGATTTCAAGATTAAAAATATTTTAATGATTTTAATGGTTCAGATTTTTCATTTATAAACGTTTTTTTATAATGAACCTACAGCACACAAAGACTTCACTTGAGATTAATAGTGGTCAAACCTCATAAACTAACTATACATTATACACTTTATTAGAGAGAAGCAACATAGACAAAGAAGAAATCCACATATATGAGATGAATATCTTGGAAAGAAATAAACTTCGAAGTAAAAGAGGAAATTCATAAAGGTGAACCTCAAAGACAGTAATGAAGTTGATGTATCCATTGATTGAAGTTCAGAATAATATCAACATTTGTATCAAACTGTTTCATTGGGTTTGGTTAGAAGTTCATGAACCTTTGGTATTTGTAATTCCTCACTTTAGGTAAGTATATCTGGATGTATTTAAACTGGTATTCATTGGGTTCACTTTAGGTAAGTATATCTGGATGTATTTAAACTTGTATTCATTGGGCTCACTTTAGGTAAGTATATCTGGATGTATTTAAACTGGTATTCATTGGGTTCACTTTAGGTAAGTATATCTGGATGTATTTAAACTGGTATTCATTGGGTTCACTTTAGGTAAGTATATCTGGATGTATTTAAACTGGTATTCATTGGGTTCACTTTAGGTTCGTGTGTCTGAAAGTATTTAAACTGGTATTCACAGGGTTAACTAGGTGTATCTGCGTATTTTGAGCACATCACAGAGTGGATGTGTTTATGTTAAATGTACTAGCTAGGCGGTTGTGTAATGGTGTGACGTAGTTGCTCGGATTAAGAAAAAAACTGAAGTATTGACACAGGCCTGGCGATATCACGCGCGCACATGTATGCGTTTCTCTTGTCACGTAGTCGGAACCCGACTAATCACTTTTGTTTGAAACATTATTGTCGGCAGGTCGACCTGACTGTTCATTTGTTTCTCAGTAGGTCAGTCTAACAGTACACCTGTCTGTCTGTGTGTAGGTCGGTACAAATATGTATCTGTAGGTTATTACAGGTGTGTGTGTATATATATGACAGTTGATAAGTGTGTCCATAGGTCAGTACATGTGTATGTCTGTAGGTCAGTAAAGCTGTAGGTCAGTAGAGCTGTATGTCTGTAGGTCAGTACAGGTGTATGTCTGTAGGTCAGTACAGCTGTATGTCTGTAGGTCAGGTGTATGTCTGTAGGTCAGTACAGGTGTATGTCTGTAGGTCAGAACAGGTGTATGTCTGTAGGTCAGCTGTATGTCTGTAGGTCAGTACAGGTGTATGTCTGTAGGTCAGTACAGCTGTATGTCTGTAGGTCAGGTGTATGTCTGTAGGTCAGTACAGGTGTATGTCTGTAGGTCAGAACAGGTGTATGTCTGTAGGTCAGCTGTATGTCTGTAGGTCAGTACAGGTGTATGTCTGTAGGTCAGTACAGCTGTATGTCTGTAGGTCAGTAAAGGTGTATGTCTGTAGGTCAGTAGAGCTGTAGGTCAGTACAGGTGTATGTCTGTAGGTCAGTACAGCTGTATGTCTGTAGGTCAGGTGTATGTCTGTAGGTCAGTACAGCTGTATGTCTGTAGGTCAGGTGTATGTCTGTAGGTCAGTACTGCTATGTGTCTGTAGGTCAGGTGTATGTCTGTAGGTCAGTACAGTTGTATGTCTGTAGGTCAGTACAGGTGTATGTCTGTAGGTCAGTACAGGTGTATGTCTGTAGGTCAGGTGTATGTCTGTAGGTCAGTACTGCTATATGTCTGTAGGTCAGGTGTATGTCTGTAGGTTAGTACAGGTGTATGTCTGTAGGTTAGTACTGCTATATGTCTGTAGGTCAGTACAGGTGTATGTCTGTAGGTCAGTACAGGTGTATGTCTGTATGTCAGCTATATGTCTGTAGGTCAGTACAGGTGTATGTCTGTAGGTCAGTACATGTGTATGTCTGTAGGTCAGTACAGCTGTATGTCTGTAGGTCAGTAAAGGTGTATGTCTGTAGGTCAGTACAGCTGTATGTCTGTAGGTCAGTAAAGGTGTATGTCTGTAGGTCAGTACTGCTATATGTCTGTAGGTCAGGTGTATGTCTGTAGGTCAGTACAGTTGTATGTCTGTAGGTCAGTACAGCTGTATGTCTGTAGGTCAGGTGTATGTCTGTAGGTCAGTACAGTTGTATGTCTGTAGGTCAGTACAGGTGTATGTCTGTAGGTCAGGTGTATGTCTGTAGGTCAGTACTGCTATATGTCTGTAGGTCAGGTGTATGTCTGTAGGTCAGTACAGGTGTATGTCTGTAGGTCAGTACAGGTGTATGTCTGTAGGTTAGTACTGCTGTATGTATGTAGGTCAGTACAGGTGTATGTCTGTAGGTCAGTCCTGCTGTAGGTCAGTACTGATATATGTCTGTAGGTCAGTAGAGGTGTATGTCAGCTGTATGTCTGTAGGTCAGTACAGGTGTATGTATGTAGGTCAGTACAGGTATATGTCTGTAGGTCAGTACAGGTGTATGTCTGAAGGTCATTACTGCTATATGTCTGTAGGTCAGTACAGGTGTATGTCTGTAGGTCAGTACAGGTGTATGTCTGTAGGTCAGTACATGTGTATGTCTGTAGGTCAGTACAGGTGTATGTCTGTAGATCAGTACATGTGTATGTCTGTAGGTCAGTACAGGTGTATGTCTGTATGTCAGTATAGGTGTATGTCTGTAGGTCAGCACATGTGTATGTCTGTAGGTCAGTACAGGTGTATGTCTGTAGGTCAGTACAGGTGTATGTCTGTATGTCAGCTGTATGTCTGTAGGTCAGTACAGGTGTATGTCTGTAGGTCAGTACAGGTGTATGTCTGTATGTCAGCTGTATGTCTGTAGGTCAGTACAGGTGTGTGTCTGTAGGTCAGTACAGGTGTATGTCTGTAGGTCAGTACAGGTGTATGTCTGTAGGTCAGTACAGGTGTATGTCTGTAGGTCAGTACAGGTGTATGTCTGTAGGTCAGTACAGGTGTATGTCTGTAGGTCAGTACAGGTGTATTTCTGTAGGTCAGTACATGTGTATGTCTGTAGGTCAGTACAGGAGTATGTGTGTATGTCAGTATAGGTGTATGTCTGTAGGTCAGTACAGCTGTATATATGTAGGTCAGTACAGGTGTATGTCTGTATGTCAGTATAGGTGTATGTCTGTAGGTCAGTACAGCTGTATGTCTGTAGGTCAGTACAGGTGTATGTCTGTAGGTCAGTACAGGAGTATGTCTGTATGTCAGTATAGGTGTATGTCTGTAGGTCAGTACAGCTGTATATATGTAGGTCAGTACAGGTGTATGTCTGTATGTCAGTATAGGTGTATGTCTGTAGGTCAGTACAGCTGTATATATGTAGGTCAGTACAGGAGTATGTCTGTATGTCAGTATAGGTGTATGTCTGTAGGTCAGTACAGCTGTATATATGTAGGTCAGTACAGCTATATGTCTGTAGGTCAGTACAGGTGTATGTCTGTAGGTCAGTACAGGTGTATGTCTGTATGTCAGTATAGGTGTATGTCTGTAGGTCAGTACAGCTGTATGTCTGTAGGTCAGTACAGGTGTATGTCTGTAGGTCAGTTCATGTATGTATGTAGGTCAGTACAGCTGTATGTATGTAGGTCAGTTCATGTATGTGTCTGTAGGTCAGCACGTACGTAACAACTGGCTGCCGTTTTATGTATGGTTAAAGCTTAAATTTCAACAACAAAATCATACATTCCACTGTGACAACCCTTACCCAACAACCCGACCATACATTCCACAATGACAACCCTTACCCAACAACCCGACCATACATTCCACTGTGACAACCCAACATCCCCCTCTTACGGTTCGTTAGCCATGGGTTTTTACTAGACTTTTGTCTGTGTGGACATTTTCCTAGACTTTTGTCTGTGTAGACATTTTCCTAGACTTTTGTCTGTGTAGACATTTTCCTAGACTTTTGTCTGTGTAGACATTTTCCTAGACTTTTGTCTGTGTAGACATTTTCCTAGACTTTTGTCTGTGTAGACATTTTCCTAGACTTTTGTCTGTGTAGACATTTTCCTAGACTTTTGGGTGTGGACATTTTCCTAGACTTTCGTCTGTGTAGACATTTTCCTAGACTTTTGTCTGTGTAGACATTTTCCTAGACTTTTGTCTGTGTAGACATTTTCCTAGACTTTTGTCTGTGTAGACATTTTCCTAGACTTTTGGGTGGGGACATTTTCCTAGACTTTTGGGTGGGGACATTTTCCTAGACTTTTGGGTGGGGACATTTTCCTAGACTTTTGTCTGTGTAGACATTTTCCTAGACTTTTGTCTGTGTGGACATTTTCCTAGACTTTTGTCTGTGTAGACATTTTCCTAGACTTTTGTCTGTGTGGACATTTTCCTAGACTTTTGTCTGTTGGAACATTTTCCTAGACTTTTGTTTGTGTGGACATTTTCCTAGACTTTTGTCTGTGTGGACATTTTCCT